AGGACGAGAGTCCGTGCTAAAGGGGAGAGCCTGCAAGAGCTGGCACAGGATTTGGAAAGTATGGCACACAAGCTCTGTGGTGTGACAGGACATTATGCAAGGTTGTGGGGACCACTGTGGGTAACTATTGAGCTCATTGGCATGAAGGACAGACACAAAGTATACTTGGCTGACATTGAAGACCCATGCATTTTAGGGTTGTATTACTTACTACCAAGGAAGTGTGTAGTTAACTTTGATAAAATGACGTTTGGGACCAACAAAGGCCAAATTCCAGTAAGTGTTGCTGCATCTGTTGATTTGCGTATCACAGCACTTAACTCAACTACAATACCCCCTATGTCAGAGAAGATAATTTGGGGTAGAATAAAAGAACATCCCCAAGGAAGCCCAATGTTTGTGGAAGCAGTAGAAGACCCATCCAGGCCAGTGGACGTGAAGATTGGAAGGTCACTTGTGGCGGGTCATCAACAATGGCTGATTTCTCTAAATGGGAGCAGACACTCAAGGAAGGGGCATTGTTGGGTGTGTGCCAGGAGGTAGAGCTAGTCAATGTTAAGGCAAGAAATACAACAATAAAGAAAAAACTTGTATCGCTGAAGTTCCTCAGAAAGAATTTCTAATGGAAATTAACAAACAAGCAGATATGCAACAGTATTATTGATTGACAACAAGAACATAATGGCACAGTTTCAGCAACAAAACCCAATAAACAAGATACATTTCATTTTTCTGTGTTTCTCTATCTTTTCAGTGTTTTTCCTTTCTAGATTTTTCCTCTTTTTCTCCTTTTCTATGACCCAAAATTCTTCCCAAATTTTCTAAACCACAAATTTATTCCTGTACCTTTTGGTCAGTTGCATGGAAGAATATTACCTCTACAATGTTAATCCTGTGAAACAAGCATCAAATTTAACTAGCAGGTAAATGTTTTTACTATGCTTTACAAATTGTGGTCTAACATGAATCCCATATGTATATGTGTGTGTATGTGAGAAAAGATTACAAATAAGTTTGATATACATATGTGTGTGTGCTTTTGTTAAATAATTTGAATGTGATAATTTGGTAATGCTAGGTTTACCCAGTGAAATGTAGTGTACTTTCTGTCTTTCAGCTTTAGTTTTATGAGGTAATGGTTGTGAATGAGCAACTCCGGAATTCAATTAATGTATAGAAAGTAGAACATGTTTTAAAACTGTGTAACAGAAATCCTGGTTTACTATTTTTGTTATATTACCTAGTAATTGTTAGTTTGCTCTTCACAATGTCTTCTGAGTTGTTATAGACAGAATAGTTTCTCTAAGGAAGAGGGAATTCGTGAGTTGTCACTGGTCAGAATAAAAATTTCTATGTAAGACTCCTTTTAAGTATAAAATTAGATGTACAGTATTGTTTAACTGTTACAGCAAACTAACTAACTAATTCTTAAAATATTGTTATCGCCTAATAGTCCAAGTTCATCAGATGAAGAGGACCGAAAACCATTGGATATTAAGTAAGTTGTATTCTGTTTTAGAATTATAAAAAAAAAATGAAATGCATATAGATAGTATTTTTTACAACTAAGAAACAGTTTCTACTCATTCCTTTCATTTAAGATTTTGTTTCATGTTTTTAGGCAACCCTCACCTGTCTCATCACCTGCCAAAAGAACAACCACAAGAAGCCAGCGTAAAAGAAAAAGAAAGGATGATACATCAACTAAAAATGCCAGTAAGTCTGTGACTGTAATTATATTCAAGAGAAGAATGATAAACAGTACACCAAAGGTTTGTTAGTATAAGTAACATTTAGAATGTAATTTACATGAATTTCAGTCCTTTTTTTTTATACATACATACATAGATACATATACATAGCCAGACATGGATGTCTGTTCATAGGGGTAGTTTCCTATCTAATCCTGAAATTTCCATTTGTAACAAAGTTTGAAATTACAGTAAGAAGTTTGAACTAGTAGATACAGTTACTATGATTATTATGAATGGTACAACTTACAGTATGCTGTATGAATATTCTGTGAATTATAGCATTAATATTGTTATGTGTTACATGTAGTGTCTCAGATATTTTCAAAAACTTGGGTAGTTTCAGAGATACATAAAAGGAATGATGGGTCAAAGTGCAATTGTTGGAAAGATATTTAAGTCTGCAAGAAGATAATTCTCATTTTAGTTCTGCCACTATTGTTGACCTGACCTTGTCACCCAGTAGTTCTCTGGACTCGTCACAGATTGTTGAGGATAGATAAGAAGTGTGTTGCATTTAGATCTGTGTGTGGGTAGTTTGGGGAAATTTGTGGAGAAAATGTTTATTGTATTTATTGTAGTACATGAGTTGTCTTTGTTTAGAAAGTGATGACTTACTATAGTGAATGAGTGGTGTGCTGAATACACTAATGGAAAGAATATATATGAAATATCCATTATCTCAGCCACGTCAATCTTTGCATCTCTGCCCTTTGTTAACCCTATTGCCACAGGTATCCTTTACTGCACATAACACAAGCTTTTAGTGTCTTACAATCAAAATTTTATATGTTATACCAATTAATATAGCACAAAATCTTAACCAATAACCAGAGCTATCAAATAGAAATTCAGACCCCTCCTGCCACACCCACATGTCACATCCTCTCTTTAAGGATTTAGTAGTAGTTCTCTCTTACATTTAATTATATATTACCTATAACCAATAGAAAGCTATGTTCTTTTGTGCATTATTTAATTAAATAAAAATTATTTAGCATATTACTACCATTAGTATAAAAAAGTAGGGTTAAATGTCATCAACAATCGACAGCAAGAAAAAATAAGATTGGGTAAATACTTCATAAAGGAAGATTGGAATCATATAATAGAAATCATTAGTTTCAATATTTTATGAAATTAATGGTACAGTAAAGCTCAAAGATGCAGCATTGAAGTTGAAGCAGATTCACAATGCTTAGTGGTTCTCAAATTAAAAATGACATTTCTGCAATGAAGAGTAAATATAACAAGGATTGTATAATGCCCAGTATGTTACCAGCATAGTATAATCCATACAGTTTACATCATGTCAGATTTATTGAAATAACCCTAAATCACTGGTTTCAAAAATGATTCCTAGGCTCAGTACAAAAACATGCTGTGCTGTCTCATGTGGCAAGTGTTAATAAAATTGTCAGATAAAATAAGCTGTAGATGAAGTAAAACAGTGCTATTTGTAAGTTTCTGCATTCAGCAATTATCAAGGTTCATTCAGATCATGAAAATCCTATAAAATAACTCTTGAGTTTCATAAAAAAATTAAATACTAAATACCTGAAAAATCCTAATTTTTTGTTAAATGTATATATTTTTTTGTATTTAACTCCAATTTCAACTTTGTTTAATTGGTTAAGGAGAACAAACTTTAATTGGCCAAGGATGCTATCAAATAGGTTTCTCATCTTTCTCAATGATTTTATTTTTGTCTGTCATTCCCAAGAAAACTGTGGATTGGCATCTTGTCATAGATCTTTCATGTCTCAGTCAGTTTCTTGACTTTCCTTAGTCTATCATGGAGAGTTTTCTCATCTTCTGGTGGTCTTTTGCTCTGGGGCTTTGAATGACCAGAGTGGATGTCTCCAATGCTTATCATCACATTCTCATCTGCCCAGTGTCCAGACTTTACCTTCAGTTTGTTCATTGTGGTTCAGCTTTCCCTTTTGTCCTGACATCGGCCCCATACATCTTTTGTCAAGTACTACATGCCTTGTCACATTATGGCTTTGGATTGCAATTTTATCGTTATATGGATGACTAGCTTTTTTCAGCTCCATCCTAACAGGATTCCTATGTCCATACCCTTCTTCTTTGGGAGGAGGCTCATCTTGGTTAGTCAAGCTGGAAAAGTCTCATCTCACACCCAATCAATATGTGGTTCACTAAGGTGCATTTTTCATTTCCCATCTCAGCAGAGTTCTTTGCTTTGTTTGCTGGCCATCGAGAGTTTGGTTTTCACAGTTCTATCCTCTTGTTCTTTTCCTGAATGGAAGGTTCTCTCTCTTTTTGAAATGTGGGCTTCCTTAGAACCCCTTGGGATGTGCTCACGTGCATCTTTTGCAGTGGACTCTTCTTGATCAATTGAACCTCTCTTGGGATCCCTTGTCTTTTTTCTTCCCTATATGACGATTTTACCTGGTGGCTCAAAAGGACCAATACTAAAGAGGGTGTTCCTCTCCCTCCCTCTCATCTGGACCTTCATCTTTTTATAGATTCTTCCCTGACAGGGTAAAGTGTTTGTTGTGACTCCTTCAAGATTTCAATTATTAGAACCTGAAGGAATTGACCTTTCATATCAACCTCTTTGAACTCTCAGTGGTTCTTCAGGCTTTGGATCCTTTTCTTTCAGTGGTTTGAGGTAATTTGGTAATGATTCATATGGACAATTTCACTGTCTCACTCTCTTTGTTTCCAAACCTCTTTCTTTATCTTTACACCCTATTTGTCTCCTCCCTCGTGTTCTGTCCTTCATTCAGGACACTCCTTGTCAGATCTTTTCAGTAGTGCCATACTGGATAGCTGAATTGTGGTTTCCTTTGTTGAGCTTTGTGTCATCCTCCCCTTCTCTTCTGTTCTCCCATTTTCTTCTTCATCAGACAGTCCCTTGCATGATGTTCAGGATTCTCTTCACATCTGGCCTCCCTCCTTTCCCATTATGTTTGCCTGTTATCCTTCATATTGTATCAGTGGAAGTGGTGTATTGATCACTATGTTGTTCTTTTTTTCCTTTCTTGTCCCTCCATTCCCCACCTGAGTTCTTCATTTGGGCTTATTGGTCTTGACTATTGCTGGTTACCAGGTAGCTTTTTTTACTACTTATGATTTTCCCATTTCTGATGGGGTTTTTTCCCTCCCTGGTCCTAACTATGCTCTTCTGTTCCTTTCACCTCCTTTGCCCTTCTCATCCTTCTGGCCTTCCTGATTGGTACAATAATGTCATTCTCATGCTTCTTGCACCATCTTTCCCATAAAACCTATTTCTTCCTCCTTTGTGTCTGTGGTCATCAATGTTCTGACAGGTATGCCATTGATTCTTCTCACATTCTGTTTCATCACTTCCATATTCTTCTTTATCATGATCATACTTTTCTCCCTAAAACATCTGTGGGATTGGAGGGTGGTAGTGCATTCACACATATATCTCTCCCTTTCATTTCTGATCTTTCTTCCTGTAAGGATCCTGATCATCTCCTCTGTTTTATTCATGCATTCTGTTGTTACTTGGCTTGCACTTTTCCTTTTCATGGTTCCTGATCCTGTCACTTTATTCCATTGAATCCTATATTCACTCATGATTTTTTTCCAATTACCCACATTAGATGGCCTCATCAGCTTATCCTTTTGGTTTATTCTTCAGTGCATAGGGATGTACATAAATGCTCCCAGCTGTTCTGTCATCAAATTCATCACCTTACTCACTCTTTGGCTGCTCACTTCCATCATCCATTGGAGAAGATCATTCAGGTTGGTGTGTGGATAACACCTCACACCTTTGTTGCACACTACCTACATCATCTGGCCATTTCTTCTTTTTTTGGCTATGGACTGCCTCCTGTTGTTGTTCTCCACAACTCATACAATTTTCATCTTTTTTTACCTTGTTTACTGTTACAGTATCCCACTCAGTGGGAAGTGTTGCCTCCCAGGGTTTACCTAAAACAAAATACACACAAAGTAAGGCTGTCCCAACCTAATATGGTGCTCACTCATGAGATGGGGTGTTCCACAAGGCTGTTTGAGGTATCCTCATGGTGCTAAATGTTTTAAACAGTGCCTGATCCCAACCATACCCACCCATGGACTCCTATGAGTAAAGCACACAGGTGATTCCTGTACATTCTTCTTGCCTAGTTTAACACTTACTGCTGGTCTACTTTTTAAAATACAATTTTCATAGTCACCCATTGCACTCTCTTGTGGTGATGCACTCCTCTGGACTCTCCAATGTACTTTCACCCCCCACTCCCATGTTTTCTTCTAGTAAAGCATGAGAATCCTTACAACTTACCAGTTCTTAACCATTGAGATGGTGTTCCATGGAGGTTGCCTCTTGATTGCAACCAGTTCCACTCAATTGATAAGGTGGTGGTGTTCTATTTGGGTAGTACAGTTTACCCATCTGGCTGGCTTTTCTCCATCCAACAGGTACCCAGATGTTGGGTTCCCAACCTAAGTCCTTAGTCATTTGTAACTTTGGTATTACACTCCAACTGTAAGATAGTAAGGACTCTCCTCCTACTGTAGTTCGGAAGTCAAAGTCCCTGTGCTGTCTGGTTTTCGACTGGAGTTGGCCCACCATGTATGGGCTGATGCACCCTAGCCACACTACTTATATGGCTCTTCTGAAAGCCTGTTGCAGGTGTTGGATTGTGCTTATGTCTTCCACTTGTAATTGTGACACTCCCTTCCCTTATTGCCCAGGCAAATAATGTACCTTGGTACAGATAAGCTGTAGGGGGTCGCATTCCATTGTATTTTCCAAAGGGAGTCTCATCTAGGTAGAATTTTGCAATGCTCCATTCAACATGGGATTCTAGCTATATATGAGGGGAGGTTTTGTGTTGTGTCAAAAATTTTCCAATGCTAAAAGTGTATTTCCAATAGACATTCACCTCATCTCCCACTTCCAGTGTATCTTATTTTATTGCCTAATCTCAAAGTGAAGATTGAACCATTAGTATAGGAAGCTGTTTTATACTCTTGTTGGTGGAAGGTTGTTGCATACTTGTTTGCATGAAAAAATGCAACAATATCACATGTAACTATGTAAGTTTAGGTGGGAGTTTCAAAGCTAATGGTGAGATAAGAAGTTCACATATAAAGAACAGCATTGAATTTGGAAAGATATATGTGAGAGGAGGTGAGTATCTATCGGAAATACATTCTCAGTGTTGGAAAATGTTATATTTTAACTTGTTTATAGCATAATTAGAAACCCATAGAAATAAATGTAGTTTTGGTACATTCTGTTCTAGTTTCTGATATATATTTAGTGTTATAAAATGCATATTTGAAAGCAACATAAATTGTTTAGTGTAAAAAGTAGCCTTATTGAAGTATATTCCCAAGTACAAATAGGCCTCAATAGTTAGATAAGTTCTAAATTTCTTGTTTTTAATGTGAATTTCTTATTTATTGTTATATATTTTTTTACAAAAGTAAGTAAAATTCAAAAGTTAGAAATTAAGTCAGATAAAACTAAAATGAAAAAAATGATTATATAAAGAAATTCTGAAGATAACTTGCTTGCATAATTCATCTGGTTTCAGGTCACATGATTTAATTTGATCTATTTTTAAAAAAAGTATTTATTATTTTATTTCATATTTGTCAACTTTTCACTCTACCATTGTGATTTTTCTACATTTAGTGTTTGGATAGATAATGTAAAAGATAAAGTATAAAGTTTTACAAGAAAAACTTTATTCATTAAGGAGGTTCTAGAAGTTACGCCAACAAAATATGGAAACTATAAAATGAAAAGAAGTATTTTTATTCTTAAGATGGGAATCTCTTTTCACTCAGACTGATCTAGTAAATGCTTCATAAATTTAATGACAAATCTTTAAACAAAATAATAATACCTTTGTACACAAAACATCAAATTTTTTAATTGACTTGTAATTTTTGCTAAAAGCTTGCCAAATTTTATGAAGATACGCTTAGTACATTCAGAGTTATAATATATATAGTTGCACAGTTACATTGAGATTTCAAGGTCAGTCAGATTGACCAAAATGTATGCATAAGATTAATTAATTATTTTAAATTAATCAAATGAGTTCATTTACTAGTCCTACTAATCAATCTGATTGATTCTCATAGGTAACTGAGTTCATCACCTAGCTCTAGTTTCAGATACATTTTTTGCTTCATTAACTACAATATTTCATGTGAATTTTCCTCTCTGTGTTGTCAGATTGTTTATAATTTTTGTCTTTTGTAACCAAAAGACACTTCAAAGTTTTATCTTTTCTATCACCTACCTTAATTCAAGATTTCGTGCCTCTTCAAGATTTTGTGATCTTTTGTCTGATGAAACTTTTTACATCTTTGCTATTATTTTACTTTCTTTGTCTTTCTTGGGTTTTCTTTCTTCTGTGCAGCTTAATAGTGCATGGACAAGCTCCTAAGAGGGTAAGTTACCCTAGGTCCTTGACTGCCTTTAAGAGGCTTGTCTCAGGCTGTAACACTGGCTTCTTGGTCTCTTTGTATTTGGGATTCTTTCTTCAGGGAACCTTTGATATCTCATATATATGTACCTTTTGATGTGAGTTAAAACTAGCTTCATTTTACAGAACATGTTTTTGCTCATGTTCTGATTTAATGAGTGAACTGCAAATACTCTTGTATAAGTTATTTGGTTATGACTGATCAGTATAGTTACCAATCGATTCACACACACAGATATTATATTAAACATTCATACAATTTAATTTTAGTAAGTTTATATATTTACACATATTACCACTGTGTTACATTTCAATACAAGCCGTTACTGGATATCAATGTTAAAAAGAATTTGCTCTTTAACTCTCTCAACATGGGCTCGCTCAATTTGACCAACCATGTGACCTCTTTGTACTCGTTTAAAGTTTTTATAGATTTAATACTTCTAACTTTCAATATAGTGTGTATATCTTCACAAAATTTGGCAGTATTTCAGTTAACATTATAAGTCTTTCATATACAAGAAATCATATTTCATTTAATGAAGTATTTTTAATAAACTAAAATAAAGATTTGTCCATGAATATATTGAGTATTTGTTTTGAATAGTCTATGTGCAAAGTAATTTTCGTGTTAAAATTAAAAATACTTTACTTCATCTCAAATTTTCTTTGTGTATTCCATACAACCTCCTAAATACATTTCAATCCTTTTCTTTAAGTAAAACTTTGTTTTATCTGTTATTTTCTCTACCCTATCTCTATATGGGATCGGTCAATTGACCGACGTTGTATCCACAAAAAAAAAAATCGAAATAAATCTAAATTACCCTTTTTTTCCTTCCAGAATGTAACATGAAAATACATTTATTTATCCTAAGTAGCTTTAAGCTTGTAACAGTATACATCTATTTATAATTAAATTTTATTGTATTATTGCCCTTTGAAGCATGTCTAACTACTATTCGTACCATTATAAGTTGTAAATCATTCAGGGAACGTGCAGCTCACATTATGCTATCAATTGACATTACCCACGAGCTGCTCGCGTGCGTGCCTCATGAAACATTTTTATTATATTATTATTATTATTATCAATTTTACCTAATTTAATCTTAAATAACTCTAAAAAGATCACTATTTTTAAATTTTAATTACTTTTATAATAATAATAAAGAATAATCATGAAAAACAAGAAATATAGTACTTACCCATTCTTCTTTTTTCTTTCTCTCGATTGTCAATGACAGTTAACCCTACTTTTTTTAAACTAATAGTAGTAATGCACAAATTAATTTTTATTTAATTAAATAATGCACTTAAGAACATAGACTAATAACATGCAAAAAGTAGAGAATTTCCCCTAACTCTCAAAAATTTTTGGGCTTTCTGACTATGCGACAAGAGATGTTACAAGTTCATCCAAGCTAGCTGTTAACATTCTCATGGGAATGAATCTTGTACTCTGAGTGAAGTTGACGATATTCTGTTCAGAAAACAATGTTATAAGATATATCATTTGATAGAGGAAAATCTTGACTTTCTATTTGTTATAGGTAATATATAATTAAACATAATAGAAAACTATTATCAAATCCTGAAAAAGAGGATGTGACAAGTGGATGTTATAGGAAGGGTCTGATTTTTCTATTTGATAGCTCTGTAACCAAACAAAATTGAAGGCTATAAAAGTTATGGTTTGTTTGAGCAATTACGATTTTATAGGGAGTAATTTACATGTAATTTCCTACTTTTTGAAGGGGTGGTAGATAAAATAGAGAAGAGAATATTTCTAGAGAAAATGTGTGTCACTAGGGGAAATTCATGATGTTTTAAAATATTGTGTTATAGATTTAAGAACTTAATACTTATATACTATTAAAAGATTGATCATTAGCAAAGTTTTAAGCTATACTAATTGGTATAACCTAAACAAAAGTAGTTTAATAAAATTTTGAGTGTAAGACACTAAAACTTTGTGTTATGAGCAGTAAAGGATACCTGTGGCGATAGGGTTAATGGATTTGACCATTTTTCCAGTCCTGCCTTGACTGTATATAAGAATTTCAATATAGATTGATGTATGAGTTTTTATAAGTGCACTCTATTCTAAAGTATATTTTCTATATTTATAGTCCTGTAGGCAGAGTGAAAAATATTTTTGCTTGGTTAATCATTTTTATCTGACTTCAGAAAATTTGTTCGTTTAGGTTGAATGGTTTGCTTTTTCATTAGCTAGATCTTTATTTCAAGAAATGTAAACATCAAAATATCAATGTATTGAAGGATTTGAGTAATTTTATTAATCCAAAGTATTTATTCTTCCATTAAATTCAGTTTCTAGGCTAAACACCTTAATCTATATTTTCTTTTTTTTTTTCAAGACTCGTATGTGATGAAATTGTATGATCGGAGCGTGGATCTAGCCCTGTTTAAAGATTGTACATCTCTGTACCCCGTATGCCGAGCATGGATTTGTAATCAGCCACAAAATTACAATGTGGATGGTGGAAGTCGTTCACCCTCACCTCAACATCCACCTCAGGAAGATGATGCAACTGTAATTGGTTTTTCCTCAATGTCTATGTTATTGTTAAATGCAGCCATAATAAACTTTTTCCTAAATAGACTTCTCATAAATTTTTAGTCTGAGTTAAATTCTGATCTTATTTAAAACATTTTTACACCAAGTATACATGTATCAAGTTGAAATTTTTAATCCTATAAGGTTTTGCTATTTTTCATTCATTTTGTTGTATATAAACTGTAAAATATTTAAGCTTCTACTTGATATAAATCTTTAGTTTACAGTACTTGTTACCATTTAACATCTTTTGAAGGTTTTACAAAAATTGTTTTATCCATATATATATATATATAGATATCTTTAGAAAGAAAAGGTACTTTTATTCTGTATCTGTGACACAACATGAACTGTATTTCAGATACCAAACTTGCAAACATGTTGGCAAAGGTTTTTTTACCCATACAATATCTTACTTCCCCTTACAGAAAGCTTTCTCGACTTGTACTACCCTCTATCGGCACAAATTTTTGCTCACCACTAGCCTTGATACTCTCACCCACCCCCACATATGTTAACGGGAAATATCTACATACTAACTTGCAAATGATTATGCAGCAACCCTCCACCAATAGGAGTGTGACATCACCCCTATCGTAACTAGTGCCCTCTCTATTCTTGCAGCTGTTAACCACTTCTCAGTTGGCAGTCTTAGTGATTAGAGGTGTTTTTGCTAGTGGTTTGATTAACCTTGCACACATTTTTACTTTCATGAATTTTACTACTTCAGATACTTTGTTATTTTACATTTTCATTCTGTTTTATGAAGAGTTACGGATTATTTTATCTTCTCTCCTTTTTCAATTTTGTGAGTTATGCACTCCCAGTTTCAGATGGTTGCTACCACTTCTGTTACTGCTGCAGCGGATTTACCGACCACATCCACTGGGTCGAAACCACAATTATTGGCCAATAAATTGATGACTCTGGTCCATCTGGATTTGACCAATTTCTTGCAACATTCAGAACAATCTGATGATTGTCCTGCTGAAGGTGTGAGTAAGTGGGAAGATGAGAATTTAGACAGCCTTTTCCCCCCTCTTGATTATGCCTCTTAGTCATGTTTCATTTCAGGGGACTGACCAGGCTTCCTTTTGTGGAATTGATTGATCAAGTATGTTATGTTCTGTCCTTGTCTCCTGTTTCTTTCCTGTGGTACCAACCATGCCCTTCTTGAGGATGAGTCATTCGGTTATCATTTAATGTTTATTTCTTCACCAGATATTCAGGTTCATGTGAGTCATTTTGGGGAGCAGTTGCATTTAGGGGTTAGTATGCCTCGACCCCCATGTACTATGGATAACCATGCTTTTACTTATCATTGTTCCAACTTCCCCTGTTTGGAGTCTTTTATCCCTTTGTGAGGATTGGATCTCGATACTTTGGATACCTTTTCCCAACCACAGTTTTCCCATATTTGTCTTACTCTGACCACCATTTTCTGTTCTTTATCCTTCCTTCACTTTTTGGCTGAGGCTGTTCATCGTTCACCTGAGGAGTTTTCTGATGATACTCAGAGTCTCGGTTTTGTTGCCCTGGCATTCCTTTCCTTTTCGAATCTGGCTTTACAGACATGGCTGCTCTGATGTTGGGATCTTCTATGTCAGAATGCCATTTTATCTTGGGTTTGTTTACCTTCCACCTCATTGCATGACTTGTGTATGGCACCTTTTTTGCATCAAGAGGTGTTTGGGAGTCTCCCCAATTTGTTGTAGACCAGAGTTGAATTATCATGTCCACATAACTCCCTCTCATTCCTGGCTCTTCATTTATCCCAACAACCCATCCCAGTTCCAGTGTTTTGCCCCTTCTTCCAACCCTTTGCTGGTTCCAGCTTCTCAGACGTCTAACGTTTACAATAGATATCCTGCCCAATGTTGGTTTGTAGCATCCAGCGTCAGGGCCAGTGGGGGCCAGACTTTTGCACTTTGCCCACGTTTGGAGGTCCTTTTCAGTTGATCCATGGGTTCTGAAAGTTGTTTCTGAAGGTCTGGTCTTCCACTTCCATTCATTTCCCCCATTGTCTCATCCCATTTCATTCCCTCCTCCTTGGGATCCCATTTCTTGTCAGCATCTGTCGGAGGCAGTTCAGGACTTACTTCAAATGGGTACCATCAAACAAGGAGATCCATCTCATCCAGGATATTATTCTTGTCTGTTTGTCATTTTAATAAGACTGGAGATTGGCATAGGGCCATCATTTTATTGTCTTTGAACCATATCCTAAGCATTCCCAAGTTCATCATGGAGTCGTGCTTGGCTCCTTGTTGGGTTTTCACTCCAGATTTATGGATGATGAAGATTGATGTGCTGGATGCATATCTCCGTATTCCCATCTTCCATGCATCCAGACAATTTCTTTACTTTGTTCATCACTTCCACTTGGCTCCATATGTGAAGAAGGTGGACTTTTGCCCACCTTCTTCATTCCCAGAGCCTTCATTTCCACCATTATATGGACGACTAGCTGCTTCTTGCCTTGTCACAAAACAACTCATTCCTATATACTCAGTTCTCCTGGAAGTTGGCAGGGTGGATTGACTTTTCAACATGGAGAAGTCTTTCCTCACACATTACCCAATAGTTGGTTCATCTCGGAGTGTTTTTTCAACTCCCTCCTCAGTCAAGCCCAATCTTCACCACTTTGGTTGAGAGCTATAGAATGTCTCGTGTGCACATCTCATCTTTTCCTTTTCCTACTGTGCGAGAGGTTCTCTCTATTTTGAGATGTGGGATTTTCTCAAATTCCTCTTGGTCATGCCAATATGCTTCATCTTCAGTGTGTTTTGATTGACCAATGGAGCTTTGTTGAGGAACCCTTAGATGCACCTCTTACCCTTACCCTTCTTTTATATACCAACTTCAACTGGTGGTTGGATCAGAACAATACTTACTGTGGGTGTTCCTCTTCCTCCTCCTCATCCAGATTGTCCCCTTTTTACAGATGCTTCTCTTTCCAGATGGGGATCATACCTCGACACTCAGAAGGTTTCAGGGTGATGGACTCTTTTTGAGTCCTCTCTCCATATCAATACTTTGACTTTATGTCACTTCCTGCAGGCTCTTTGGGGCTAGTTGGTGATGGTCCACTCTGACAATTCTATGGTAGTTTTATACATCACCAAGTAAGGGGCATCGATCGAGAGACCCTTGTTTTCAAGCATTGGATCTTTTGTAATGGGCGTACAGCCATCACATCACTTTGTTAGCAGGTCATATTCTGGGTGCCCTGAATGTGGTCACGGATTGGTTGTCCCGTCTCGACAAGATTCTCCCAACGGACTGGTCTTTGGATCCTCATGATTTTCAGGAATTTGTGCTCAGTGGGGTGTCCCAGATTTGGACACTTTTGCCACTCATCTCAATACACAACTTCCCCATTTTTGGTCTCCTATTCCTCATCTATTGGTGGGAGCAGTTGATGCTCTCAGTCAGGATTGGCAGGTTGGTACCTCTGTGCATATCCTCCTATTCGTCTCCTGCCACATGTCCTTGCCATAAATCAGACCACTCTGTATTATGTTCTGCTGGTGGCTCCATATTGGCCAAACTTGGTTTTCTCTGCTGCTCAGGTTCCCCTTTCTCTTCCTTTATCTCCAACACTCCTTTGTCAGTCACACTCCAGCATGCGTCATCTGTCCATACCCACTCTCCATCTTCGCATGTAGCTTTTGTCCGGGCCCTTGCCAGAAGGGTCAGATTTTCCCAACATGTAGCATCCTTAGTTTCCTGTCCAGTTTGTTCCTCCTCCATAGCAGTTTATCAACATAAGTGGTATACGCACCTCTGTTGGTCTGTCTGAAGAGGTTATCATCCATCCCATCCTACTGTTCCTCGACTAATTTCCCTTTTGACTTGACTTTTTGAAAGGGGCCTCTAAGTTTCCTCTGTTGCGGACTATAGGATTGTGTTATCTGCCATTTTTTGGTTTACCCAATTTGTCCTCTATCTTATTTCATTTCTTCTGCAGTTCCCATCCTACCTTGCTTCCCTCCCTGATTGGAACCTCAAAGTTGTCCTCCATGCTCTTACCCATCCTCCATTTGAACCTTTGTCTTCATGTTCCTTATATCACCTTTCCTTGAGGTCCATGTTCCTGCTAATGTTGGCATGTGGTTGTTTTCGTTCAGATGTGTTCATGATTGATGTTTGCCACATTTTGTTTCCTAGTTCCTATGTTCCCCTCTTTCATATTCTTTCCTTTATGCCCAAGACTATCGCTGCTCGAAAGGATAATCCTACCTTCACACCAATTTCCCTTCCCTCAATATCCCACCTTTATGGCTGTTCTGATCCCAATTGCCTCCTTTGCCCAGTCAGGGACTGACATGAGTAAAGCAGACAGGAATTACTGCCCATCCCTGAAGTTCCACTGCATTTGAGGCTCTTCCTACCATGGACCTGAAGTACATTTCCAGATGCCACCAGGTGTTGGTTGATTGATTCCGTCAGTGAGGTAGCTCAGTATTTCAAAATAGGGTATCACAGTTACCCTTTGCACTGTCTCCAGTGCTGTGGTCCTTCAAACTCTCCAACCCTCTTTTTCCCTCCTTTTTGTAGTGGAGTATGGGAGTCTTTGCCATTTACCAGTTCCTAGCCACTGGGATGGTGGACCATGGAGGCTTGTCCTCCTGAGTGTGCACATTGAAGTTTGTCCCTCTAGCTGTGGCACGCTCCTTCCTACCATCCACTGGATGTCAGTTCCTGGTGGATCTGGTGTTGATTGTAGCTGGATGAGACGCATGGATAAGGCAGGGTACCCTCCTCCTACCATGGACTGGACAAAACATTCCCAATGCTGCTTGTTTTTGCATGGGGGTTGAACACCATCCTGAGCTATCCACCTTCCTACCATCCACCAGATGTACATTCATGGTGGATTTGGTGTTGGTTGAGTTGGAGGTGTGCACATGTGGAGGTGAGTTCTTGGTATAGAAGCTCCTCTTCCCTACCAGTACATGTTTTTGAGGTGAAAGGTAGAGGACCCTATTCCTGCAGTGGACCTGATGTACAATTCCAGATGCTGCCAGGTGTTGATTGAGGTCCAATTCACATTTATGGTCTGTCACACCCTAGCCAATCTACACCAGGGGTTCCATTGTTTCTTTAATTTTTTTTGGGTGGGGCCATCCTTTGTTTCCACCCTTTTTGGCAACACCTTACAAAAGGGTGATGAGTATACTAGCTCAGAAGTGGTACAGTCTCTCACAGATGTGTTGTTTTTAATTCCTTCTCACATTCCATAGTTTTTCTTTGGGTGCTTCCTAAAGGGGGATCATCTTTTCACTGGCCCTCCACCTGTTCAATGTTGGGTTCTGGCTTTTTATAAGAAGAGGTAAGATATCGTATCAGAAGTTAACATTTCCCTAAACAGAAAATGTATTTCCAGTACTTACTTCCACTCACATTTCCCACTCGTCTTCTCAACATCAGTATGGTTTGTGTGATCTGACCAATCTCGAAGCGGTTAACAGCTGCAAAATTGGAGAGAGTGCTTGTTATGATAGGGAGTGGTGTCACACTCCTATTGGTGGAGGGTTGCTGCATAATCATTTGCATGTTAGTATGCAGATATCTCGTTAATACATGTGGGTGGAAGCTGGAGTATCAAGGCTAGTGGCAAGCAAAAATTTATGCTGATAGAGGGGAGTATGCATCAAGAAAGGTTTTTTGTGAGAGGAGGTAAGTATCTATTGCAAATACATTTTCAGTTTAGGAAAATGTTAACTTTTGTATATATGTAAGACAACTGTGCAATGGAATAACAGGAACTCGACAGAGGATATAGTATTCAGTGATTGTTTTGAATCACAATACTCATGATTATATAGATTTTTTTTAATAACTTTAGAGATCACTTGACTAAACAGCTTGTATTTTAACACTGGAAAACATTGATTTCAGTATTTCAAACAATACATGAATGTTCTCTTTCTTAACTTGATCTTGTTGATTCTTCATTATAATTTCAACTCTTATGAACACAAGCAATTTTCTTTTCTAGGGTAATGAAAAGTCTGACAATGTGTATTCTCTTCCTCCTCCTAAGCCACCTCAAACAAAGGATGGAAAAGAAAGAAGAATTCCATCCCCACTTCCTCAAGAAAAACAAGATCTAATAATATCTTCTGTAAGTTTTATGGAATGTATATTTTACATAATTTGCTTAAAGAAGAAGAATCTCAGGGAATTACTTTGTTTAACATGTAATGAAACCAGGATGAAAAAGTTTTATTCCAATATGATATATTACATCCCCCTCACAAATAGCTTTTCTTGATTTATACTGCCTTCTGTATGTGCAAATTTTCACTCACCACTAACCTCGATACTCTCACATGAGATATCTGCATGCTATCATGCAGCAATCAGTAGGAGTACAAACATAACTTCTATCGTCACTGACAGCCTCTCTTCTTTGCACCCCGTAATCACTACTCAATTGGCTGCCTCACTGACAAAACTTGTTTTCATTCATCTAAGTGTGCTCACTCCTACTCAGTTGAGAGAAGGGTGATGGTGTTCTGCCAGTGTAAATGTCATTGATGCTTATCCTACCATGGACTGATGTACAATTCCAGATTCCATCAGGTGTTCGATGATGCATTCTACCAGTATGCAGTTTGCCCCTCTGGCTGAATCATCCTCCTTCCTACCATCCCCTGGATGTCGGTTCCAAGCAGATATGGTGATGGTTGGACCTGGAATCACGAATTGATGTCACCAACTTGCATTTTTCCTTGTCATCGTTGGCCTCTAGCCTTTCTTTGACTTCTCCTGGAAGTCAAGGTGCGACTGTTTGTTGTGTATCTCGACCCCCATCTTCTGTTCCTCAATCTGTTGGTGCTCAGAATAGATCCCATCCTTATCTTTGAGGATCCTCCACTTGGGCAGACCATTGGCAATGGCATCAGTGACTACCCTATGCAGGTGGGGTCTGTAAGAGAAAGGTTACAACATTTTCTGGACACTTGAAATTCCTTCACTACAGATCCATGGGTACTTCAGGTTCTCGCATCAGGGTTGGTCATTCATTTCACTTCTCCTAATCCATTATCCTCCCAACCTATGGTATTTCCACCCCCAACAGATCCATGGAGTGTGGATCTTCATTCCAAGCCAATCAGAGAGTTATTTATTGGTCAAGGAGGCGGTAGAGAGAGTCAATCCCATTCTCCCGGGATTTTATTCCAGTTTATTTGTTGTGCCAAGAAGATGGGAGATTGGTGCCGATCATCATTCTGTCTCATCTCAGCCAATTCTTAGATATTCCCAGGTTCACAATGGAGTCCTTTCTCAGTCTACTTTAGCATTTTTCACCGGGTATATGGATAACCAAGTTTGATGTTGCTTATGCATATATCCACATTGCCATACCAAAGTCATCCCACCATTATATGAATTACTAGCTACTTCTAGCACCATCTCGTCAGTTGGTGGAACAACACACCCAGATTCTACTTTCAGAAGCCACAAAGGCTGGCTTTCTTATCAGAGCCACTAAATCTGTTCTCTTGCCTACTTAATATATTGTCCATGTAGTATGTTAGTATTGTTACATAATTTGAATTTTTGAGAAACTCTCTACACTTCTATAACATAACCAATGTGACATGCCAAAAAATAGTATTTATTATTAGTCAATGTGATATAAACTTCAGAAGCTATAACTATAATTGTGATTACTGCTTATTAAGTG